CTTGTATGTTTCTGCTTTTATTTCTAATTATGTTAGTTTTGGTCCTCCATACATGAAAACCCATGATCCTGACAAACAGGAAGTCTACACCAACAACACAAGGTTTGCTGCATGTGTAGGGGATATTTAAGTGATAAATGAATAAGGGGGAAAAAAAATCACATCTAACAGCATATCCTCATTCAACATGTAAACCTTTCCATTAGTGCCTAAAGGAACAATTCATGTTTTTGAGTGGGGTTGTACAGAGTAATTCATCTTACAGTCTCTTAATGATTTGTTTATTAACACAAACATATACTTACAATGAATAAGCTTTGGTAACTCAGTTATAGTCAAATCAAAACTTTAATCCAGGACATTATTTACACTGACACTGAACAGAACCATTAAAATTAAGGCTAACATGCTACAATAATAGTCATGAAACAACTGCATTCACTGCAAGACACTCTGTCCCAACCATATTTATACACACTATTTAAATAAATAATTCACATCAGAGCTGCAACTTAAAAACAACAGATTAATAATTCTTGTCAGTGAGGAAACGTCAGATCAGAGACCTCCTTCAGGGATTACCTGTGGATTTTAAACAGAGGAAGATTAAACAAATGTAGATGGTTTACTTTCTGCTATTTTAGCTATTCATTTTTTGACCAACAACATTCATTTATTGATCATTTTATCATTGTTAAAACTGATCAAATGTGGTGTTTCTTATTTAAAGTTTTTTCTCATCTGAATGCTAAAAAAGCTATTACATTAATTCCAATTATTTTTCGAAATCAGTGAAAAAAGCAGTTATTTGCTGCTCGCTTATCAAATTTAAAAACACACTTTTAGTTTCTTATAGAGCAGAAGATTAACCATATTTTTTAAAAAATACAACTTGCTTTTTAAACCAAACCACGTTTTCTTGTTATTACACGAGTTGTGACACTAAACAGCCCAGAGTTTAAAAGGAAATTAAATCACAACAGGTTCACTATCTGGGTCAGATGATTGAACTCAACTCCTGTTTAGTTTAAAGCCAACATATTAAAACTAAAAATAGTGACGTCTCCTGCACACCGGGTTCTGGGGCTGTGGGCTCCGAGGTGTGTGACCTACATACCCTTTGACAGAGTGGGACCATAATCACCCGGTATTATTTACAGAATGCAGCACCCTGTTGGTTTAATCATTTCATGTATTTGGTGCTATGCACTACACGTGCGCTGCCAAGTCAGACACTTCAGCAGACAGCTTGGATTATGTCTAAAAGTTGTTTTATTTGTGATTTTATCTAGCAGTTTGATCATTTAGAAAACAATCCCTGTTACATGTTTACTGTAGCTGGAAAATGCATTTAAAAATCTTTTAGCATCTTAAAACTGTGATATTTCTTCAAAGTTAGCTCAAAACGTTACCATTATCACCACATAGTGGTTTAAATTGGTATTGCTGCTGGATGAAGTAAGAAATTACACACAATGGAAGAAAATTCAAGTAAAAGTATATACATATAAAGTTTTTAACTTACTCATTACTCGAAGCTGAGCTTGACTTTTTGCTTTCCCGGATGAGAACTCCACCACCCCGCTCATGTCCGGGTTGGTGTGCCTGAGGGTCAGCCTGTGGACCGTGCCCATCTTCTCCAGTCGTACCTGGGGACCCGACTGCAGGGGACCCCCGTTCAGACTCCACAAAGGAGATCTGACGACTGGGTCTGAGACTTCACATTCAAAGGAGGCCTGGTCAGGGGCCACAACCTCCACATCTTCCAGCTCCCGGACCATCAACACGGACTGGGCTTGGTAAGGGAACAAAAACAAAAAAGAGGTGTTAGGATAGTAGATTTAGGACCTAAACAGTAAATTTAGGGAATAATATCTTAAGGAAAGAGCTTGAAACAAATTATTTACATTCTGCTGAAAAAAACAACCCCCCCACACCCCCCGCCCCATGGGTTGCCGTTTGTAAAGTTACACAGTCAAAAATTACTACCAATATTTTTGTTTTATTTAGCCTTTTATAAGAAAAAATTAACAGATTTATTTTTCAGTCAGTTTTTCACCATATGATTCATACATTTATAAATGTCAGAGTTTATAAACTAAATATTTAACTTACAAATGAAATATTTAGTTAACAAGCTAAATATTTAACTTGTGACAAATATTTAGTTTTGAGCAAAATGTTTTGCTTGCAACTTAAATATTTAGCTAGCTACCTAAATATTTAGGTTGCAACTTAAATATTTAGGTGGCTACCTAAATATTTAAGTTTCAACCTAAATATTTAAGTTGCTAGCTAAATATTTAAGTTGCAACCTAAATATATAACTAAAATATTTAGCTAGCTACCTAAATATCTAGGTTGCAACTTAAATATTTAGGTAGCTACCTAAATATTTAAGTTTCAACCTAAATATTTAAGTTTCAACCTAAATATTTAAGTTGCAAGCTAAATTTATAACTAAAATATTTAGCTAGCTACCTAAATATTTAGGTTGCAACTTAAATATATGAATGTGTAAATAATGTGTGAGAGTTTGATAATAAATGTGAGAGAGTTTGATAGTACATGTGAGCAAGTTTGAATTATAGCCTAAAGGGACTCCCATAGTACATGAGCTACTATCACACACAGTGTCATTTTAGCTCAACAGCTAGCTAGCTAAATATTTAAGTTGTAATCTAAATATTTAGCTAGCAAGTTAAATATTTAGGTAGCCACCTAAATATTTAACTTAAATATTTAGCTAGCCTGCTAAATATTTGTTTCAAGCTAAATATTTAGCTCAAAACTAAATATTTAAGTCACAAGTTAAATAT